AAGATAACAAGAACTATATGGAGATAATTTAAGAATGTAAATTGGTGAATGAATGCAGTGATGAATCATTAGAAATATTCTAAGCATTTAATGTATAAATTCTTTCGGGTTTTTCGACACCAGTCTTAATGTACAAAATTACTGTGTGTGATTGGAGGGAGGCAAACGCATGGTAGTGAATAGTAGTACTGGAAGTAAGCTCATTTGACAGTTGAAAACATTACAATACTGGGATCAAATTCGAATTCAGTTACTGACCAGGAATGAAACAAATTTCCATGTAATATCTCTGGCGCTCTTCCTCATCGAATAATCAAATTTGGAAAGATTAAACTGGAAATCTATTAAGATCTGAAATTAACTTTTTACTAATCAATAAATGACAAATGTATGGATGGTGAGGAAACTGTTATGCAATTACCACACCACGATTCCTCCAGTTTATTTAGTACCGTTGCTTTAGTATCTTTATTACATAAGAAATGTACCATACAAGAAATTTAATTATGCTTCTTTATCCAATAACTTCGAACAAAGAAGAAATCATTGAATTACACCGAGATCAAACAAAGTGAACTGAACGATAATGATTGAAAGAGAGTATTACCCTACTCCTAAATGTCGACGCTAAGTTTTCTTTGCAAAATTTCTCGGTAAAATAAGAAAATATCAGCAGATGCTTGCTTAGCCAGTGTTCTTGCAGCTTCAAATGTACCATACTCGAATGTTCCATCTGTATCGCAAGCCACCGTTTTCGTCGATTCCTGCACTTACATTTTATTCATATTCCGCTTAACGCACACGAAATATGTTGTACCCACACCATAAACAATGTCAAAAAAATAAAACGAGTACTGGACAATCGCAATCTCATAAAAAGCATTTTTAAACTTAAGAAGTGAAATAAATTCCTAATGACTGAGAGATTTGTTATTGGCCAACTAAAACTCTCATAAACTCACTTTGCCACTCGAATAAAATGCAAATGTGTAGACTGCATCTGCAGAACAGCACTGTGGACAGATTGGGTCCAAGATGAGATTTCCTTGAGAAGTTGCTACAGTAATTCCACAAAACATTCCATTCATAATAATGCCTAAGTCAAGAGCTGCCAAACAAGCGGCATTTAGAGCTGCAGCTGCCTTAAAATAGCATCAACATATCACAACAGAATACAAAAGGAAACTAATAAAACCACCGCAAAGAAATATTTTTGGAGATGTTATAAATCAGTAAAAATTCACTTCTTGAACCAAACTGGAATAATACCTCACAGCCACCTTCCTGTAATAAATGCAGGGTGACATTCAGAACAACACGAGGATAATGAACATGGTCAACGCTGTGTTTCAACGCAGCACCCAATAATCGATTAATCTAGAAAGAACGAACTGCTGATTTTGACCTACTAAATAACTGAAAGATTGGTCTTGGAACAACTGGAAAAAACAACAGTTCATAATATGCTAGTAATTCTGGGCAAAAATTTAGTTCGGTACTACAGAAATTAAGAACTAACGGATCAGAGATTAACAGCTTGAGAAGAAATCTACACCTGACATATTGCTAACGCAATCTTTCGAGAGAATATGCGGACAGAACCACTTTATAACAATGTGAAGTTTAAAGAGGCATAAGGGAACCTTAACAGAATTCTTTAGCCCATGAGCATGCTTATAAAGAATATCAATGACGAGTCGTTCACTGAGTCGTTTCGAGGAAGAGACATTACCAGGACCATTGATTCCGCACCATATCACAGTGGTACCTTGTTCCAAAGCACAGGAGCCATCAGCTCGGGGCAGAAAACTTAGCTGTGCTTTAAGATCGCGTAGCTTTTGACGAGAATTATCGGATACTTCAACAGGTCTCAATTCCATTTGCTTTTTCTAGAAAATATCCATTACATTTTTGACATTAATTCATTTGATTCAGAAAGATAATTAAAATTTTTTGAATTTAAGAAAGGGTAAGAATTATAGGCCCTGTCACAAACACATTATATCGGCATGCAAGAAAATCACTGATATCAATCGAAAAATTGAACATCGCCTCCAAGCGCCAAATTCGTGATAAGTCCATTGTGCTGGTCTGCTCGTTTCATTGCTAGCAGTAGTTCACTACGGTCGGCCGCAAATGATCAACATGTCATTATTTGAAGAAGTGACATAGTGTAAAGGTCGAATGGTTTTGGGACGAGGCAGCGTTTGGCTTCGCTTCGACGGTTTGCGTCCTCCTCGACTTAGTTTGCCATCGAGTTCTCTCTTTTCCTCAGTTGTTTAGTCATCTACCTCTTACTTGTTTCGTTTCTTTTTAAGCAACTTTTGCAGCATTAAATCGCAAGTTACATCCTCACTCTTTAGTTATACTTTTTGTTACAAAATATGATATTAAACTTTTTATTATTTATAATACAGGGGTTGAACAGTTGATCCATACGGTTTATCACATGTTCAGGTCGCAATATTGGAACCTTCTTGGGGGAAATTAATTTTCTTGCGTGAGAATAACAACGAACAGTGCTAAGCAATAATACAAGCTGTAAATGACGAAGAAATTCAGACTAAAGAAAGAGAGATGCTTTTACTGCACCGCATCGAAAGTCGGGAATTCGAATCCAGTGCTTCACTGCTCAAATAAGTCAAAATGAGTTACTAGGTCTCATCCACAGTTCCTGTTCGTCGTTCTCGTACATTGTATTATTGCTTACAAAAATTGAGTGAGATTACTTTTTTTTTCGCAGCCTTGTCTGGATCACTTTGCGCAACTTGTGGCTAATGGCTGAAGAATACGAAAGTGTTTGTCTGGTGAAATCTGAAGTTTTCGTTTATCGCATACCACCTCTTACCAGTAATCGAGGACATAAGTGAGATTTTCTCTCAATTTGTACTTTCCCTGTACTTTCTCTCGTTTATTACCATTATCACTGCTCTAGTTGCTATTAGTCAGACTTCAGATTCTTTCCGATAGACAATCGTTTTGCTTCCGACAACTGCGTATATATTTCCTCTGTGCTCCATAAAATCTGGATGGATGTGGGTTGAAACTTTTGGAGGAAATATATTTAATTATAACCAATTTATATGCCGTCTTAAAATTATTTCCAAACGTACCATCCTTGCAAGTAGTGGTGGACTTGATTGCAAGCTATTCACACACATGGATGGACGCACATATAGATTCGCATATACATTCCTGAGCAGAATACAAGTTTCAGGGCCGCAGATTGGAAGCTAGATGAACCAGACTGGACAGGACGTATGCGTTTGGTAGCTGTTGGTAATAAGTTGGAATTACGTTTGGAAGATAAAGTATCTGGGCAGTTGTTTGCGAAATGTCCAATAGATGAATATCCAGGTCTCAGCATCGAGCCTGTCCTTGACTCTTCACGGTATTTTGTCGTTCGATTGAAAAATGACAACGGTCAAACAGCTTTTATCGGTTTGTTCTTTATATGGGTGCTTATACATGAATTATTTGTTAGAACAAATTTCAAATTTGAATACTGGGAAAGAAAGGACCAAGCATCGAGGCGTGGGTACTTCAGGGAGTATCTGCTGGGGAAAATACATGAATTTCGTGAATTTTTTGATGTGTTTTTACAATTTTTCCAGGTTTGGGGTTTGCTGACCGGAGTGATTCATTTGATCTGAATGTTGCGTTACAAGAGCATTTCAAATACATTGAAAAAAGCGCGGAACTCTGTAAAGAACAAATGAATGATCAACCAAAGTTGGACCTTGGTTTCAAAAAAGGGCAAACTATAACTATAAATTTTGGGGTAGGTCTGTTTATCTCAAAATAAATGGTCGAATTGTATCTTTTTTAATAGCTGGGACAACATATTATTCTCCACTGATATTATTCGAAAGATTTTTCATGATAGAAATCACTGACACCATAACTCGTATTACCATTCACACAAAATTGTAGAGTTGCAGTATTCAAAATGTAAGCAGTAGCAAATTGACTTGGCTTGTAAATTAAGTTTCTAGAGGGGATCTTCCAGTTATTAATAATATTTCGTCGGATAATAAGTACACGAAAATATGTTCCAGAAAAAAACAACAAATCCTCAGCAAGCGAGAGTATCATCATCAGATGCAAGCAGCAATTGTGGAAGCTTTCCATTGTTGCCGCCACCACCATCAGCAACTTCTCCTATCAGTCAGCGTGCACGCAACATTCCAGGCACGAGAGCGAAATTCGTACCTTAATCATTTTTGTGGTTGATCTCTTTTCACATAGTCATTGATTTTGTGAAGGACATATACCAATCTGTATATAGTTAAACATAATTACAACTTCTGCTATGAATATGTTTCACTTGCGAGTTAGGAATTCACCGGTAAGGTATGTCTTGTGGTGGAGTGGTTTTGGCTCTGCTTGATTCATTATTGTTTTTTTTTTCCGGCATACATTCATTAATATGACTCTTGTAGTTCCAGTCTTGTTTCACCGCATGCATATTGTATTTGGGTCTTGTCACTGTTGACTGCAATTTTGTATCGAGCAGCTTTTCCATCTGTGATGTTTTCATAGAACTTACGACCTTTTTTTTCATGTTTACTAATTGGTAACGCATTCTGAAAAAGATGTGATCCATTACGAATAGGTGATGTACGTCGTCGATGTGATAAATTAGTAATCGAAAGAAGAAAAAACTGAATATTTTAATGAAGTATACATCTTGTTTTTTGACATTTGAAGTATCGGTTTTCATTCTATTATTTTTTTTTTTCATCCAAACATTCCTGATACGATTCATCTTTCGGGCATATTTCTTTTATTACAAACTATGCAAAATTTTCTTTTGGCATTAGGTTTTAATTCATCATAGGTACAGTTGAAGGATTTTCAAGGGCTTACTAGGGTACTATTGTAGATTAAAATGTTTTTTCAACAAAATGTATTGCAAATGGGTTGGATAATGTGATGTTGGCTAAAAAGACCAGCTGAGCAGGGTCACTGGTAAGCTAAGAATGAGAAAAGAGGAAAGTAAGATGTTGCTGATTGTTTGGTTGTCTGTATGTCCGTATGGGGTTACCCAGCTTTGGACTGTCTGATGAACTGGTGAGGGAGTGAATTTTCCTAGTAAAAAAGAAATTGAAATTAGAAAAGTGGAAGTATCCTGGAAGGTATAGAAATGTAAAAAATAAATTTAGTGGTTTTCCTTTTCAGTTTCATTTTGTGGAAATGGCATATCGTGCTGCGGATGAAATGGCGCACATCCACCTGTCAAACGAAAAGACGCACATTCGTTTATCAAATGAAAAGGCACACATCCGCTTATCAAACGAATATTCGGAGCTGAAGAAAGATCCAGTTCCGGGTGTGGTTGCAAAACCACTGGATGAAAGCTTGTTGTTGTGGGGCTATGTTATTCGCGGTGCAAAAGATACTCCATTTGATGGTATGTCTTTATGCTCAGCTTTTCACCTGTTGTTCATGGCGGCTTCTCTTTTTCGTTTTTATAAGATTCATTTGCTGATGCTAATATGCACTCAATCTGTTTGCTGCACTATCAGTTTGCACGAACCGCTTTGTATTTTATATGGTGTGGGGATGTTTCATGTCAACGATTATCTATTGACGGAAGTTTATACTTTGAAGTCAATTTTCAAAGTTCTTAAAAAAGCTTAACTTACTGTCCTGTTAAAGTCTGCTCTGCGCATTATAACTTTTATACTGAGAGTATTAGATTTTTTTAGGTGGTTTGTATTACGGCGAGTTGGAATTCACCAAGGATTTCCCATACATTCCTCCGCATATTCTTATGTACACACCAAATGGAAGGTAATTCAAACATTGCTTGTTCCTTATTATTCTTTCCAATTTCACTTGGATGTCGAGTTTTCTTACTCAAACGTAGAACCTCTCAGTGATGAATGCATGATGGAATTTAGATTCATGCCTGGTGAACGAATTTGTGTTTCTATTTCGGCATTTCATCCTGCTAATTGGGATCCGTCGTGGACTGTCGGAGCATTTCTGCATTGCTTCGCCAATTTCATGATGTTCGACGAAAAAGGAATGGGTATGGGTGCGTAATCACATTTAACATTTCGTTTATTTGATTTTGAAAAACCATAACATTTTTGTATGAAATTTCCATATTCGAGCAAATATTTTTGTTCTGACAAGTTTATGTAGCTGTAGCATCAGACTTACGAAAGAATTGTTGGTCCCGCTAACTGAAGGGATAAAATATTTTGGCAACATTCTATTTGCATTTGGGATACCAAGCTCCAGTAAATTATTCCTAAATCCCATCTTCAGCATTCATTTTCGTGCACTAATCGATGCGTGATAATTTTTACCGTTAGCTCTTATCATGTTCATCTTAACCTTTTGGCTGTAATATCCATGTTTGTTTTTTATTAGTAGAATAGCTGTTGGATTACTTTTGACAAAATGTAATCGCATTCATGAAGCATACGAAATATTTCCATGAATTCAAGCAAATCATTGCAGGCGCTATAGGAAGCTCGGCGGAGCAGAAACGTGTCTTCGCAAAGCAGTCGATGTTGTACAATAAGACAGTATGCTTTGACCTCTTTAAAATTTTTCTGAACAGTTGCTCATTTTTCTCCAGATTTCAAACTATTTTTTTTCAGTTTCCCCTAGCTGCATAAGCAGAAATTTGGATTTACTTCTCATGACTTTATATGAGTAAGTAGGAAATTACGAAGCTTATGCCAAGTCAGCGGTTCATCCGCTGCCCTCAACAAACTAGCTTACCGACTAGCGTGGTAAGCCTTTTTCAAATACTGATGTTTGGCTTTATTCGATGCGATTGCGTTGTTTTGAAGTAGACTATCATCTTTTTATATATCTCTTTTCAGAACAAAAATTTCATGAAAGCATTTGGTGAAAAACCTTTTGGTCCAGAGGATTCGGAAGATAAAGACCAAGCAAGTACTACCGTTGAAACAGATGACGAGGAAGAAAGTGAATTATCAAGCTTTTCTGAATCTGAGGATGAGAGATTTCACAACCTTTTAACATGGAAATTCTAGTTCAGTAGGAGATCGCTGATCGAGATGGGCAAAAGAATATTGTTAAAATAAATTTAAATTGTGAGAAAACGCTTCTCAAACTGTAACCGAACTTCTAACTTTGGTGCTTATTGAAATTGAACTTTCATTAGTACATTATTTGGTGCTTACCTCTGTTTTGAATATTCTACGATTTACTGGCGGGGATTACCCATCCTTTGCTTCCATTTACTTTTCCCCGACAAAAAGGTGAATTATCACATTTCAGAGAATGTTCTTTATTAAAACATGCTTTCATTGTCAACATTTTTGGTTCTTTTCTCTAACGGGAAAGATCAGTCATTCATTCTCCTCTTCACTCTGCGTACATTGATCAAATTTGTGTTTTGTTATGGTAGCTCTGAGCAAATTCTGTGGTCCATCTGTTAAGTTGTAATCTCATTCCGGATCATAATATTTGCATAAGCAGTGATATATGTTGCATTCTTTTGTTTTAGGAGAGGTTAAACATTATCAGGATAGTCGATTGGGAATAACTTTCGGTTATCATTACTTTTTAATTTTTCAAACCGTTATGAATCTTTTGTACTTTATTTATGCTTTGTTGTTTGTCTTTCATTCAATTTGTTTTTTTTCGGATCAACCAATTTATTGTTTAAATCTGTCTTTTGATCAAAAACAGTTTAACAGTCGTAAGAGCTGCTTATGCAATAGTGCTAAACTTCAGATGGTGACAACCCTCTCAGTCATGTGTATTTGCACTATTTTTTGCTGACGGATCTCAAGCTAACCAGCACTTTACCATAAATTATCATATTCCTGAACAACATGCAGCGAAGCTGGATATGCGGACAGCGTTTGTGACTTGTTTTTGTTGTTCATTGCTTTAAAAGCTTATCTCAGTTATTATTGTGACATACGCTTATAAATAGTCATATTTCAGGCTTATCATTCAATAGTTATATCTTTAATCTCAGGGCATCTGTTATCGCATTGTTGGTCTTTCAAATAATCTTCAATTGAAAATATTAAATATCTCTTGTTTTGTTGAATCCTGCTGTTGCTGTTTTGAATAAATTATGAATTCCAAGTAATATAAAATACACTGTGATGGTCTAAGCCTTTAAGATATCAGTAAATGTAATTTACTTCCTCGTCTCAACCTATGCTGTCAGCATTATCCATCTTCGTTTTCAGCGTACGACTTAATTTGAATCTCATCCTGTTGTGGATGACGAAACATAGTGGTGTCATGTTACAGTTACGCTTAAGCTTGTATTTATTTCAGGATTTTAGATGGCAGAGCAAAGATAAAATCTCGTATACGTACAGCGTACAGCGAGATATAATCGTTCATATTTTTATAGAGGCGAATGAAGGATTGGTAAATATGTGATATTAGATTTCGGATAGATTATATCTCTCCTAATAAAGTGTGTAATAAGGCAAGCTTGATGTCAACTTCTCAGGTTATCCCATCTCTCGCTTAGTGCTTTGCATTCAGTGCGAGGCGGAATTTGCATGCTGATAGAAAAAGGAAATGAATCGTCAATTTTTCACGTCATCTAATATTAATTATTAAAGAGATATGCTATAGGCATTCATTCATTGTTTATAAAGGCAGGGTAAGTAATTGTTGGTGAGATCATTTGCAGTAATAATGTATTATGAATTGTGTGTAGCGCGTGTTGCTTCCACTCTGTTAGGTGGGCTGCAGTTGCTATCTAAAATTTGGATTCCCTCATTGAAGCACATACCAGAAAGCTGTGGAACGACACGTGGTTGCGACACGCTATCTCCATTATAGGTCAGAAAGTGGGTTTGAGTGAGACAAGGTCTTGGATAAACAAGGATGATGTATCTTGTGATATGTTGTTCACTGCAACGTTTATTGCTACGTTTGTGCATCTCTTCTCTCCTCTCTCCATGTGTTCTGTTGTATTTTCTTTGTTGTATGAGTCTTGGTTTCCTGCATTAATGCTTATGCTGAGTAAAGGAGAAATCCGTGAATACATAGAGGCGGGACCAACTTTGTTCAAAAAATGAAGAGTAGATTATAGGGCTCACGAGAGAATTTCATTCAGGGCGTTGGTGCCATGGGTGGTCCGTCGGTTACTGCAGTTTCAAGGCTGAAGAAGGACTATGCAAAGTTGATGAAGGTTTACCCTTTTATCAAATTTATGTAATTTTTAAGTCGAGTAAACATTATGCTTAATCTTTTATAAAATCCTGTTGTATTTAGTATTCTGTTAATGAAATTGCATGTTGAGTTTTCAGGACCCGGTACCCTTTGTCATGGCAGCTCCCCTTCATTCCAATATTCTGGAATGGCATTATGTGATAAAAGGGGCACCGCAGACACCGTATGAAGGTTATTCTTAGCATTTCCTTTGCACGCAGTTGGTATCTTCTGGATTTAGTGAGAAAACCATGAGGAAATTTTTCAGTTTATCGTATCTTTTGGTAAATTTCCAGATTGGTTGACGATCAGGAAACATATCATACATATATATTTTTGAACTTTAGTAATGAATTTTTTATGTGTTCGTTACCTGCGTCGTATATTTATAGGTGGATTCTATCACGGCAAACTTATTTTCCCGCCCGACTTCCCATTCAAGCCGCCGTCAATATTTATGTTAACGCCTTCTGGACGTTTCCAAACAAATACAAGACTGTGTCTTTCGATCTCTGATTTCCACCCAGATACTTGGAATCCTGCTTGGACGGTTCATTCTTAAAGAATATTGGAATCTTTTTTTCTGAAATTTTATTAGCATACCATTTTGTTTTGCTGGAATCGTTCTATCCAACATTAATTTCATTACTTCAGGTTTCAACTATCATAACGGGTTTGCTTTCCTTTATGAATGATACAGCTCCAACTCTAGGCAGTATAACATCAAGCGATGCAGAGAAGCGTGTTCTTGCTAGGAAGTCCAGGGAATTCAACCTGAAGGTCTTCTTTTGCTTTCATTACTTAACATTACATATTTCTCTGAAATTACTGCTTTTTGTTTCAAGGTGTCAATACAACCTTGTTTTTGTAGGACCGAGTCTTTTGCGAATTGTTTAGTGATTTGGCTGAGCAAATACGAGAAGAGTTGGCCGAGGAACGAAATAAACTATTATCGGAAGAAAACGCAATGGATGAAACTGCGTCACAGAGAAGGTCCTTATCCTGATCATAACTCAGAAATGTACGTATGATGTATACATGAAAATTTTCAGGAGATAAAAGACGTTGAAATTAAAGGCGTTTTCCTAGCTTTCAGATACTTTTATCAAAAACTTTCCAAAAATATTTCCACGTATTTTTGTCATTTATTCATTCATTATCTATAAGTAACAATTTTTTAAGGTCTGGTGAAGAGGGCGAGTACGCTACCTTGACGTATAATCTTGTGGTGCTTGCAGGCGTGGTGTTAATTGCGTTTGCAGTTAGATTTGTCATATTATCTGCTCAAGAGGAGAACTGATTTCGTGTTTGTCATTGGAAACTGATGTTTTATAATACGTAAATATTTTAATTTCTCATCAATTTAGATGTAGAAATTTATGATTATATTCAAAAGCAACACATCTTATCATTTGTGAAAAGCGGGAGGCAAGTAGAGAGAAGAGAAGCAAGTAGATTTTTCCATTTTATTGCCTTCTTTTTCTTTTTTTTCACAGTATCAGAATTTTCCATCAGATCCGCTGTTGTTTAGTTATTTGGTTCCTACAAGTCTTTTGGTAGTCTTTTTTTTAGAACTAACGAGTGCTGTGCGCATTTTTGATACTGATGTGGTACCAACATTTTTTTTGTCTAGACCTACTTCTAGCGACTTTTGATACTTTTTTCGACATCCTTTTGTTCAAAACTGTCTTTTCCGCCTTGGTTTTTATCATTCTTCAAGTTCCTTATCCCTTTAAAAAGAATCCATTACTTTGCTATTGTCGGTCATTATGAATAGTGTTAATAATATCAGTTGACTGACTGGTTGATTGATTGGTTGTTCATTTGTATGTTATCATCATTTGTGATTAAAATAAAGAATTCGCACCAAGTTATTTCGTTTTTGTAAAGTTTCTGTATCATAAATGCATATGTATTCATAGATTCTGTAAAATAATCGAGCATTAGCCACTCAGATCATTCTTGTGAATCTTCTGCGATTTTGGGATCTTATAATAATTAAGGTAAAAATCGACTTTCGATTCCATTAATTTGCCGCCCATTGATGCGACGGTGTATTCTCGGTATGCATCTTCCGAATAAGTACTGTTATTCGTTTGTAAGCATTTGTTTGTACTGCTTTCTTGGTGGTTGGGAATAATGTTTTCTCGAATGTTGTAAGCATAGGCGCAGCGAACAGCTGTACAGAAACCTGATCCGCAGATGCAACGGGATCTATTCAGTTTTAAAACTAGGTTAAGCCTGAGCGTGATTGATTGGTAGAGATGTGTGGTTTTTCGTGAGTCACGAGAAAAAAATCCTTTTCGTACCAAAAGCAATAAGAGGGTTTTTGATTTTTTTTTGGTGTATATGTCACTAGTGTAGTGAAATAGAGAGCAACAAGGCATGGTAATTCAGTCTTATCAAAATTGGTTCGTTTGATTATGGTTTGCGGTGAAGGTTCAGGTTACTTATCACAGGTTTTAAGGGCGTTGTTTTGGAATTACATTGATCGGAATGGTAACATGTGGAAATAAGGATGGCACGGCGTTCTTTCATGCCTTCACGAATAATAATACTTTTTTGTGGCTGTTTGATGTGCGTCATTTGTACTATCACGCTTTCACTAACGTGCAGTTGCGAGGAACAGCTTGCGTCCAGCAGACAGCGCAGTCTTGCTTCATCGGGCCTGTATAAAAAGCAAGGTGGATTTATGGAAATTTCCAGATTCAAGGAGAAAATGTACACATTTGCGGTATTCAGAGATTAAATGTTGTCTTGTTTTTTCTGTCCTCATGTTTTGACAAGGTGTATTTACTTTTCATTAGCAGTGAAAGAAAAGAGAACAAAAACTTTCCATACGTTAGTTTGAACTTTCATTAGGGGGAGCAACGTTTTTATTATCTGCATCTATCTCAGTTGGAATTATGCTGCATTTTCATATGTGGAAGTTGTTTCAGGTTTGCCTTCAACATATTTAGCGATTGTGATCATGTCATCTCCAAGTGATGCTATGGTGCGTGCTGTAATTCGCAACACCTGGCTGAAATTATCTTTAAAAGGTGGGTTAAAAATGATTCTTGTAGAATTTATTTAATGTCATAACATATTATGGTAAATCAATAATCAACACAAAAAACAAGATTCATTCAGGTAAAGCAACTTTCCGTTACACTTTTCCGATTGGAACAAAAAATCTGAGCTCGTTTCTCAAAGAACGTCTGAAAGAAGAAAATAATTCGTTTAATGACCTGATTTTTCTGGAGGACCTCACGGATACTTACCAGAATTTAACTAAGAAGTCTTTACTCTCTATGCAAGTTATGCATAATATGTACAAATTTGAATTCTTGTTGAAGGTATCTTTTATTCAGTTATCCAAGTTCAGGCCAATCTTGTCATGAACGTTTGATGTCGAGATTGTTTGTTGATAATTCAGTTGTTCATGATTAACTTAGCTAGCACCACATCAATTTGTACTAAGAAATATATTACTAACAGTTGGTTTTATGATTTTGTATGTTTAATTTGTGGTTTTTTTGATTTTTAACTCACGTTTTTAATTTGGGATTTTTAATTTGTCTTTTTTTTCTTTGGATTTTCTTTAACATCTAATTGGCCAAAGTTTATGTCTTCTTGAAGGTGGATTCCGATTCGTTTGTACGTTTGGGAGCATTTTTAAAAGCATTAAAGGATATTGAGGATCCTAATTTATACTGGGGTTTCTTGGATGGGAGAGCAAGACCAAAACGAAGAGGACAATGGGCCGAAAGGGATTGGATTATATGTGATCGCTATGTTCCTTATCAGGTATTTTATTATTTAAAACTGAATCATCGGGCTGTAGTCGTTTGCAAATCTCGAATCGGGAAGGTAGCATTTCAAAGCTTATGAGATTTGTTGTAGCTTGGAGGAGGTTATGTCTTATCCTACAAATTGGTCGACTTCTTCGTGCGGAACAAAGATCTACTGAAAATTTTCAAGTAAATCTTCGTTTGAAATAATACTTTTTTGAAGTTAGCTTTTTACTCGCTGATATCTGTTTGGAAGTAAAAATTTCTATCAAAATTCAGTAAAGCCACAGCACCTCTCAATTAGAAATAAGTGTTTGCTAAAGTATAATAAATATACTGGGAAATAAATATGAAGAATAATTATCTGTAATATCATTATTCAGGAGTGAAGATGTGTCAATAGGTGCTTGGTTGGCAGGTCTTTCCGTTCGCTATGTTCATGATCCTCGTTTTGACACCGAATTCCGTTCCAGAGGATGTAACAATCAGTATATTATTACACATAAACAGACGCCGGAATCATTAAAGGTTAATATTTTGATTTACTGATCAAAAAATTTCCGAATTTTCTCAAAATTTATTCTTAATTTGACAACAGAATTAAAATATTTTGAGCCTATTGTCCAAAAATTTCACGATGAAATGCAACAGTTGTTTTACTTAGGAGAGGAAGTGTGAATTATTTATTATTTTTGAACTTGAAATTGATTCAATTGTTTTTATTCATTTTCAGAAGTTATATGCTTCAGTTGTAAGTACTGGTAGGCTTTGTGAAAAGGAATATCGCATTCGACCATCTTACGTTTATGATTGGTCAGTCCCACCCAGTATGTGTTGCACTCGACATAATGGCTCTAACATACCATAATTTGCCATTATAATTTTAACTTTAACTTTACCATATCTTTGAGAAGATTATGATAAAAGATAACTTCTGGTCAATGTGTTATGTATAAAAGATAATTTACAGCTGTAGGAGTCGTGTTATTCAATCAAAAGAGATCTCATATTTTGCGCAATTTTGTTGCTGTTCATACCCTCTAGGTCTTAAACAAATATTTCAGAGTTTTCTTTTTGACTTGAAGTGCTTTGTTCTTCATTTTAATTGTTTTCCAAATATCCTTTGCTCTCTCCATATTATTTCTTCTTTGTTAAATAAAAATTAAAATTGTAGTTTTTAAAAATAAATTATTTAGTAAATCATGTTTTTTTGTGGGTAGATTTTTGTTGGAAAAATCTATGCTTATTTACTTCCAAAGATTGGACTCACTTTCATTCCTTTTTTCAGTTTCACGGATTGCGATTTGGGTTTTGGCGTGAGGATTAAGATGGGAGAATGGAACAAAGTAGAATTTAGGTGTCAGTTTACTTTTTCTGATTTTATTCTTGAAATATTTGGGATAGAGGAAAGAATAAAGGAGAGTTATGATGGATTTAAGTCGATTATCAGTGATGCAATCTTCTGAACTTTGTCCCACTGTCCAGACAATCTTAGCAAATGTTGCATTATGTACCTATAGATAAGTTATTAGCGACTATAGTATGGGGGATTCGATTTTTTCGGTTTTTTCAAGTTTATATTATTTGATGGTTTCAAACTCCAAAGAGTTTTGAGGTTCCTCGTTTGTAGGAGAGTATTGTTTGGGAGAGTTCATTAAATGCATCTAATGCAGAATGCTCAAATAGAAGACCCTAATTCTATTTATAATGGTACCAGCCAAATGGAACTTGTTCTTTGGCAGTTAATTGGCTCATTTTCAATACTACTTCGAAATATCGCTGTACCATGGATATTTGTTGGCTTTCGTTTCGCTTTATCGAGTGGTTTCTGGTAAATTTAAAAATTTGACTTTAAAATTTCACCCTTCAAGATGTAATGTTTGCATGGTGGCAAACTCTGCCAAAGCAAATTTTGGTGCATGTGCGGAATAATTCGAAGTCAGTACACGGAAACCGAAATGTGAGCGATAGGGTGTAAAAAGTTATAATTTTACATGTTCCAGTTTTACTTCTGACTTGGTTTTACAACAGTTGATTTCTGCGAAGCAATAATGTGCCATTTATTGAAAGATAATCTGTGCATAACTTGTGAATAAACGTACTTCATTTTAAAACAAGTCATGTGGAGGGTATGAATAGCTATGTTAATAATATCTATCGGTTTTATATTTAATAATGTTTGCCATTAAAGAAGCGAATTTCAGGTTGAAATTCGCACTTGATTTCTTGTTCATAGTATTGCCAATTATTTTTTCGCTAACACTGTTCGCAGATCATCTGTCTGTGATACTTCTGCTACAATTAACTGCTTTGCTTTCTTTAATAACTTTTTCTCTTTGTGAATATTGCTTTATCGCACGCGAAAAACCTACATTACGTCAGGTTTTCGGTCAGATGGTTGATGAACAACATTCACCCACCGAATTCATCACTTACATGAGGTTACTTTTGCCTGTTTATATATATAAGTAGTATTTCGAAAAACGTTCCAATAAAATTTTGACATTGTAATGACAGAAATGTTATTTAAATCTTCCCTCGTTCTATTTTTCTAACTGATTTGTTTAATTGAACAAAGTGGTATGAAATTGTGGAGACGGGCAGTACCGGAAATATGAAGAATTACTCATATAGCATTTAGATGACAGAAAGCGGATATATAAGTTTGTATTTGCCAGATGACAGCAATTTTCACGAAGATATTTCTGAACTGTCATCCGTATATTGTTATTTAAGATCTGTGGGCCTCATCGCAACTGCTGTTGCAATTTTGTCCGTTGATTTTAATGTCTTTCCACGTCGTTTTGCCAAAACATACACTTATGGCCGAAGTCTTATGGATCTTGGTACTGCAACATCCGTTTACTGTTTCGCCGTTGTTGATGTTTTCAAGACTTTCCCAAGCAGGGGCAAATTTCCAGCGTTACAGAGAAGGTTGCCCTTTTATTTTTGAAATCGAATAAAAAAAAACCGAAAGAAGGAGGTACTTTAAGTCGTAAATGATTGAAATATAAAAATATAAATGGCAAAATAATCTAATATTCATATTGAGTATGTTGATTTCCAAAATATAAATGGCGAAATCTAATATTTCTTATTACGAATAACTATCAGATATTTTGAATACATTTAGGACAGAAATCCATTAAAAAATTTTATTGCAGACATTTTTTCCGGAAACACTTGCCAATCATTATGTTGCTTTGCTTAGGTTTCGGAAGAACATGTATTATACGCGTGTTAAACTATCCAACACAAGTTGTTGAATATGGAGTGCACTGGAATTTTTTTATAACACTCGGTTTTCTTCGGGTTTGTGTTTCAAAATTTGAATCATTCAAGTGCGAAAAAATAAACGTTTCCAGATATTAGTAAACGACAGTAGCAGATAATATAAATTGTGTGATGGGTTTTTGTTGAAGTTAAAGTAGCTTACTTGCTAATATCAGGAATGAATAAAAGATGCTTTCAAGAACATCGTATTGCGGGAGAAAATTGAAGTTTAGAAGCTTTGCTTCTGTTCATTTTTTCTTAAATAAAGGGTATTTGTGTTACCTTTGATGATTGCTCATTTTTTCCAGATCATTGTGAAACTATTCGGTCGTCGTTTTCATTTGCTTTTCGGCTTTATCATAATTTCCGTCTATCAGTATTTGTTGAGTAAAAGAAATTTCCAGGTTTTAATTTCATTTTTTTGATAGAGCTTTTCCTTTTGAAAAGCTTACTTGCTAATATCAGGAATGGATGAAGGCTGCTTTCAGCAACATCGTATTGCGAAGAAAATTGAAGTTTAGGGTCTCAGGGAAGCTTTTCTTTTGTTCGTTTTTTCATGAGTAAAAGGTATTTGTGTTACATTTGGTTGATTGCTCATTTTTTCCAGATCATTGTGAAATTATTCGGTCGTCGTTTTTTTGGAAGTATTTCTTTTTTTTTGGAATAAATTTGTTGCTCTACTAATTAGTTCAGAATTGGCTACTTTCGGAGAACGTCAGTCGAGATACCTTTATTGCAATGAATCGTGAAGGCATTTTTTCTTTATTTGGATATTTGTCAATGTATTATTTTGCATCCACTATTGCTAGTTTCATGTATTCCACGGGGTTAGTCATTGTTTCAGTATAATTTTTAATTTTTTTTTTCATTTCGTCAGTATTCAAGCTACGTTTTTATGATAATGACATAGTTCTAGATGCAGACTCATGTACGTTTCAATCTGTTTTCCAGCTGCTGTAGGATGTGTGGGAGAGTATTCAACAGAAAAAGCATCTAAGGAAGTGTAACTATTAGATAGATGAAGGGTTTACTCACTCATCATGAAGAGTTATTATCAAGTAATGGTCATCGAAGACCAAAGACGCCATTATGAGGAGAACGGACACACATAGTCTACGCTAATTAATATAGCGATTTCATTCTGAGTGGGAACATATCAGATAGTTATGATTTGTTTACCAAAATTACAGAATAAGGCTCAAATCCTGGTTCTACAGAACCTTCCAGTTATTTATGATCGCTGCGCTTCTTTTCTTTGTTCAGAAATTGGCTGAGATGCTTGTGGGACCACCTTCACGGAGAATTGCCAACTTATCTTATATCTTAGAAATGGTGAGCTGTACCACATTCGTTCGAATTTATTTTATGGGAATCTTTCTTTTTTAACTTCATTATCATAAAAATGTCTGTTACCATGTGTGTATGTCTATGTTGTTCTAATCTGATATGTCATATTCAGCTGGTCTTCCATACTGTTTACATGGCTAGTTTATTGTTGATACAATTGGCTTCAATTTTCGGATGGGCAGCACAGATGCCGCAATTCTCTATTGGTTAGTTGTATGGACTATGACAGATTTTCTGTGAATGGTTATTTTTGGTTTATGATATCATTAGTTTTTTTTTTCTTTTTTTTTAGAGGGACAGCAATCTCATAGAATCATTTCTAATTGAGAAAACTGTAAATTTGGTCAAAAGAAAATGACTTTATTTAGACTGCTGGAAACCACAGTATTTAATAGCTGCACTATTGTCATACATTTTTCGAAATAATTTGGATTATCTGTCAGTCTACAACTAAGTTCTTCAGCTTCGTGTCTTACAGATGAAAGTCCTTTCGAACGTTTAAAGCCATGTATGCTTGATTCAGTAAACCGATATGGCGTGCCATTTTTTTTGTTAGCGAACATACTCACGGGCTTCATTAATATAACCATAACGACAAGCTCTGTAGCAAACGTCTATCATTCGACGACTATCATCACTGTATATATGTTTATTTCATGTGCACTCATCCATATCTATGCAAGGTTAAAGCAAATCTCTTGAATTTTAAAATCAACAATCTTCTAAATTATCCATATTCTGTAACTTATTTTATTCCACTACGGTGGGAATATCAACATTTTTGCTTACATTATCTTTTCATCATTATCTTTTCTATGCGTTTTTTCCAGGAAAAAAATGTTTGATATGCTATCACATTCAATATTTACATCATATGTCTATTTCCATATCTTGCTTTTTATCCTCCACATTGTTTCTCTGTTGACGTAGTTCTTTTTTTAGGGTAGGCGATCCTGGCGGAAAATATGCATGACTTCACCGGGATTCAATGAAATCGGTGTCAACTACTAAGTGTTGACTGATATTTTAGTTGGGTTGATTTTATCTTTGCTCTAAGGAACTATAAGTTTCCAATGGTTTAACGATTACGTATTATTTCTTTTTGAATTTAGTTGGAAATAACAGATTAGAAATAATTCTAAGTTAGTACTGATGATGGCTTTAGATCATTCGTTGACTCTGGAAATAGATCTCATGTAGTTTTTTGATAGAAAGTACATGCTTTGCGTGCTAAGTTATGGTTAGTTTCGAATTATAAGTATTTGTAAACCATTTTTAAGAGATTTCGCATATAAATGGTGCCTTCATAAGCTTTTTGTTTTTTTCACAAGTATTTCGAAATAAATCCCTGTTTCCTATGCTGCTGCACCGTATTATTCACATAACTCAAGATATATTTCTAGATTAATTTGTTTGTATTAAAAGGAACTACCCAATAAGATACTGATACAGGGCTGCGATATTGAAAAAAACTGACTTCGCAATGTATCACATTTGTCATTATATTTGTTGGTAACATCGTGCTCATATCTTATTTCCGATATCATATCCAAGAATTATTTCAAGTGGAGTACATGCTTGTTTATCATACATTTTAAGTATTTACATATTGTGCAAGTGCCGTACTGTATTCAGATCATTTTAACAAACACCCAAACATTGTAAATGTGTCATTTTATCGAAGAACCAATTATTATAAACATAAAAACGAGAATTTAATGTCACATGAACACTTATTCCGTCTTATTTAATATTTTATATGCTGTGTTATCAAGTATTAGTGAAGTATTTTCAAAAATTAATTGGAACGAGCTATAGAACATGAGTGATATCAAGATGCTGCTCAACAGTTGAATACTGTTTTAACAGTTTCGCCCCTTTGCATATTCATGTTCCTATGATATAAAAATATTGCCGTTCCAAAGTCACTTTTTCCATAATTTTGTTGCATTGAGCTTTTCTCAAACACTAGGTTCTTCCACTTCACTTTGCTTATTCATTTCTCCCGTTCTCTGCCTTCTGTTTCGGTGGAAATTTTCAAGCAATTAAGCAGCTGCTGAAATTAAGGATAATCACTTGAATAGAAATACTTCGCTTCTGTAATACGCTAACATTTATTAGGAATAAAATGATGCCGAGTACTTTTGCTCTAGAGTCTTCTCCAAGAGTAATTTCCCGTTTTAAATTAGCATTCCTAATCGAGCGACAGCACTCCTCCTCAGTACGACGAAGCGATTTGTAATCCTGGGAATAACACTAAGCATATATAAATTTCACTATATTTTTGAAAAACCAGGAAGGCGAAGATCACGTTAATACAGCGTGACTGGCATGAGATGAGAAGGCGAGTTGCTATGACATTTTGATATGACAGAGGAAATTATGATACAGGTCAGGTGTTCATTCGATGGTGATTTTAAGAAAAACATAGAAACATAGACACAGACACAAAAAGATTACACAGTTGATTTTGCCCGTTTATGCAAATTTTAGTGAGTAGATTTGTCTCAATGTTGTAATTACTTCAGTCTGTCATTATTCTTGAAGGCATTTTCTATACTGGTCGCTTAAAATCGCGATTAGAAATGCGAAATGGTACCACTCAAGCAGAGGTTTTGTTCTTTCAGACACTGGGACTAGTGTCGATAATACTGCGAAGTATAGTACCACCAGGGATATTTCATATTTCTTCCTGTGTCCTTCATATTGGCATTTGGTTAGTACTACTGCTCTCCAGCTTTTGATTTACTTTCAAAGTTAAAAGTTTCCTAATCAATTAAAGAAAAAAGAATTTTAGAAGTGTTTTAATAACAGTTTTGAGCCAAAATATTTCTAATATTTGTTATTTATCAGCGAATCACTGCATTGGAACTCTGCAGTTAATTCCCTTGTTTTGAGCTTCGATATCTGTTTTAGAAATCCACATCATTTCATAATGTAGTTTCAGGTTAACTTTTGCGTTCGATCTGTTACTTATCGTGGTACCAGTGATGCTGACTCTGGTTTTATTTTCGGATTATGCACCGCCATTACTGTTGGCACAAACTATAATACTTTTGATCTTTGTTGTTATTCTAATGTGCGATCACTGTTTCAACAAACGAACGTACTACGAATTGTTCCATCAGATCAATGATGACTATTGCTCATCCACTAAATCCGTCACTTATATGAGTTGTAACATAATCACAAATTAAATTTAAACTATTGATTTGACATGCATTTCTAACCTGCAGCTTGAATAGAAGTTTGTGTGGAATGTTCCTAAAAGGAATATGCTCTTATCCCAATACTATTGCAGGTTATATGGCTTTCTTGCTACAGCTGATGCTATACTATCCGTAGATTTTGATGTATTTCCATGTCGGTTTACGAAGACAGTAATTTTTGACCGAAGTGTCATGGTTCTCGGCACAGCTACATTTATTGTTTTGCTATGGTTGATGTGTTCTGACATTATCCTGGAAGAGTAAAAAATGTCCGAAAGCAGTGGTTCTCTTTTTAATATTTCTTAATGATTTTTGATGTCTAACGCAGTGATAGTGATATGTGGGTGCTTAATTCAATAACCTCAATACTACGTAGCAGTTGGTATTAAGTTGAGAAAATATATATACCTGTAGCTTCAAGCGAGCCATAAAAAAATATTTTTTTCAAGTTGGACAAAATCAGACAATGGCACCGCAGAAAACTTTTTAATAAATCAATTAAATATGATCGGATGACATGAGTTTGTATTGCTACTGTAAGTGGGATTCATTGCATGATTGAACAGCGATCGTAAAAAATATCTAATTTAATGAAAAGATAGGTCATCGACATCATGCATGCAGAAGATCAAATCAGGAATGGAACGCATGGTCACTAAGCATATATCAGTGAGGGAAGTATGGGTTGGATATTCTCCAAGCAATTTATTACAGATACTGCTCTCTGAAGCCGTCATAAGCCGTTGTGCTAGTTATATTAGGATAGGGCGAACGTTCCTGCTTCATTTTAAGAACTAGCAGTATCAGATCAATGAGTATGGCATGTAATGGAATTTCTTCATTACTCTCGGATTGTTGCTGGTTTGTTTAACTTATTTAACGAAAAGGAATACCAGAGATAGTATCTCCCTTTCAGTTCATGGAGTTATTAGTGTTACTCTGTAATACTTCTGTCATAGTCCATACCGCAGTATAATTTCCTGAAGCAGAATACGGAGAAGCAAGAAGCAAAAATAAATTTACAGAATTCCAGTTATTAGTGGACTTTTTGGGTCGACGATACCATTCACTGTTGGGAATAATCATTGTTTTTACGTAACAATATTTTTTAACGAAACAAAATTTACAAGTACTTCTTTACGCATATATGAAATAATTTGCAGCAGTAAATTTGGATTAAGTACTCCTAAAGACTTATTTCTATACGGCTACTTTTGATTTAAGATAGCATTCGATCCAGGACAAAAGCTATAACATCAAAGTTTTCATAGAGAGGGAAGAAGAAATGTAATTCTATTTGTAATGAACAGACGAAGAAGTGATTGAACGAGGATTTGCAAAAACCGCAGTACTACTATTGCATGCGATATCCCAGGTATCTTTCATAACATTCATTTGTGCGGTTACTTATTTATTCAATTGCTTCAAGGCTGGACTTTACAAATGTTCCAGTCCCGCAACAGTAAGTTTACTACCTGTTAATTTTGACTAGTTCCAAAAGGAGCAGTAGTTTCCTGAACCACTGCAGGTGACCAACATTCTGGCCTTTCCCTAATTTTTAGATAGGAACAAAAAGGTAAGCATGGAGAGAAATTATAGACCAGAAGTGCATTCTCAAGTAAAAATTGCGCTGGGTGAAGATAAATTTTAAAACTTAATCCGATGCACATAATTCCACCGAATTTTGTAAGTTTCTTCACGACAGGATTCCCGAATAATGCCAATATAAATGTTTGTGCACTAGCAAACAGTGACACAAGTTAAACTGATACCACAAAAAATCGTGGATAATTCCGTCGTCTTCCATGATTTCAATGCTATTACAGATGAAAATCCACTGGAAGTATGGAACCATTTCTAGTGGATTCAGTCAATCAACAAGGACTGCTTTCCTCTTGTTAACAAATATCCTAACGGGTTTAGTAAATGAAAGCACAAACATTTCATCGGTAAAAAACTACTATAATATAACTGCTATAATAACAGTCTATATGTGCACTTGTATCATCGCTATCCTTCTTTTTACCAGACTGAGAAAAAATGTTAGTTGTGGAAGTTCTTTGTTTGATACTAGATCTCGCAGTAAAAACTCTCTTCTTTGTCCTGCCATCTCCTTAGTTTAGTTAATTTTAATGGAAGAATTGAAAGTTGGGCGTAAAATTCCAAAACTTCGCTGAGCTTACAATCCGGCATTGAAACTAATTTGCAGTTGATTTCCTTGTGAAAATATATGGAACTGCGAGGAAGCATTCATGATGGTATCAGTATATCTTGCATAGTTAGATATATTTCAATTTATTTAGCAATTGTTCTAACGTGTTATCCACTTTCACGAACATCCTTCAAAATTCTTGATTGTTTTCATTTGAAAAGTTATTGTCCAAATTCATTCAAGCCAAACGGATTATGTACATAAATATTTTAAATTGCGAAGTTTTAATCAAAAGTCATCACAGTCTAGAGAATTTCCAGACAGATCTTAGTTATGAGTCAAATAACGTGGTGTAGCACTAAATTTGGCATAACCTTTTATCACTTTATTGACGGCTTCCAAGAAATCTTTCTCCGTAGCAAGCTTTCTTCGCGCACGTATTGCAAACATACCGGCTTCTGTGCAAACACTCCTAATTTCAGCACCTGCAGAAAGTATTTTTGACAACGATTTTAGACTGTTATGCAGTTATAGGAAGGGATGTATTCCATAAAAATTAAACATGGGAAAATATATTCTTCATGTTTGTCTTTATCAGGACCATTCATAGTCTACTTTCACCGAATAACATGACTAAAACCTGATTATAACTTTGAATGAATCAATGGAAAAAGCAAACCAGTTTATAGGCTGTCATGTTCCAAATCTCCTTGTACGGCCAGGTGACATACGAAAGTGCTTTCAGGTGAAAAAAAAAGAAAAAAACTCACCAGTACTATTAGGGCAAAGACGTGCTAATAAATCATATCGAATATCTCTTTCGACACTCATCTGTTTCGCATGGATTTTGAGGATGTGAGTACGACCTGCTAGATCTGGTAAAGCGAATTCTATTTTGCGATCTAAACGGCCGGGCCGAACCAATGCTGGATCAAGCGTATCAGGTCGATTGGTTGCCATAAGTACCTATACAGCTTTTTTAATTACGAGAGAATAAATGTGCATAAAATAACATCGATATTAAAAGATAGATGCACACTTTAATGTTTCCGCGTGGATCAAATCCATCCAGCTGATTAATCAGTTCAAGCATGGTACGTTGCACTTCATTATCGCCACCCATTCCATCGTCAAATCTTGCACCACCCACGGCATCTATTTCATCGAAGAATATCAGACAAGCCTACAAAGAATTTAAAAAAATTCGGAATTGTAAACAAAGTTGACAACTGGAACGAGTCAAATTATTTAAAAGTCTAGAAAAACAAAGACCATACTAACTTTTTTACTACGGGCCATTTCGAACAGTTCTCGCACCATGCGGGCACCCTCACCTACATACTTCTGCACCAGTTCAGAACCAATAACTCTAATAAAACAAGCATCTGTACGGTTTGCAACAGCACGGGCACACAAAGTTTTCCCGGTACCAGGAGGTCCGTACAATAAAACGCCTTTCGGTGGTTCGATACCCAAATTGACAAAACGTTCTGGCTAAAATATGACATAATTAGCAAAGAGATTATTTAACAAGTAATTTAACTGAAACAGTATTTTGCATCACGAAAATTCAAGACCAGTACAAAAAAACCTACATGGAGCAAAGGGGTTTCGACCACTTCTCTCAGTTTTTCTATCTGCTCTTTGCAGCCGCCTACATCGGCGTAAGTAACGTCTGGCTTCTCCTCAACCTGCAAGTAGTTCAAATGGTGATTTGTAAGAGGCATGATTTAAGAATCCAACTACTACTTATTTTAAAAAGATGAGAATAAAACCGATAACAGTAAGATGGAAGATGGTGTTCGATGTCGATTTATGATGAAAGCTTCAAGTAAGGGATTTCAAAAACGCCTACCTGCATCATCGTAACCGAAGGATCAATCTTCGCTGGTAAAGGAAGATGAATCTGATATTTGTTGCGGTCCACACCAACACGCATGCCTTCTTCAATATCAGTTGGTGCAACGGTGTCTGCAAGATCTACCACAAACTTGGCAAACTGTTTGACATTTATCAAATAGCGCGGCTCATGTCCCGCTGATGTTATTATTTTCGTACATCGTGCAACCTGCAAAACCATTCCTTGTAGAATTCTTTAGGGACATATTTTTAATATAACTTCGACTCTTTAAGGACATATTTTTAATATAAGCTCGACTCCCATACGATCACTTGCTAGTAATTCATTAAAAAATTACCTCTGTTTAATATTTGACAATTTTTGATGGAATTTGTAACTCATTCCGATGATAAGCAATTTAATGTTATTTTAATCTAATAATTATGAACTACTATTACTTGATTCCAACTGGAAAGTGGATGGATGAAATATTGTAAGAAACTGCAACCAAAATAATAAAACACACCTGGAGAGGTTGCTCACTCTGCATTGCTTGCTTATCGGCAGCTATGTCCCATAAGGCTGGTGGTGCAAGTCCTGTATCACTTTCTTTCACACCAGATAACTCATTCACCTGTATTGAAAAATGGAAATTCATCCAACTATATTGAGGAAAAAATGAAATAAAACTTGTCGAGTGACATTTGAAAGTATACAGAAAAGTTTAAACTGCTCAACGTTCCAATTTTCATCCACAAATTGAGTTTGTCTCTCAGTAACTCATAGAAATAACAAGAAAGAAGAGAGAATTAAGGATACCAGCAAGAAAATAAAAAGTAAAGCGAGAAACTATTTCTACAAGAAATGTTAAGCACTTCACTTTTTTAACGCATTCTTCGATATCGGACTCGAGCTGTTTCAACTGTTCCGTATAAGCACCTTGTCCATAGCGTTTCAATACCACAATATCGTTCTCATCCAGGGCTGAACAACAGCGATATTAATCTCATCACCACATTCTCCTCTAAAGCTTTTTTCCTCTCCTTGTTTTGAATTAAGAAAGGCAAGAACTTGTGTGCCATCAAACTGCTACCATTTTGGGCCCTGGGAGAATTTTTATAAGTCCCATCTCACCAGGGAATGCTATATTTTAAGGAAGATATATTTGGATGACAAAATTCAGCTTATCCAGCTTATCAATACTACTACATTTAATAAATGCATGAAAAACAACATTGGAAGGGTTTGTCGTCGTCTACCACAACTTCTTTCCTCCTCTTGCGCATATCATCACCAAGATAATCTGGCATCTCGTATAATTATGTCTGAAAATGATCCATAATCAAAGACAGACACGAACTACTGTGGTCCTTGATTTGATGCGACAATGATACCTATACCAAACATTCGACCTCTTAAAAGCGCACGACCATTCCAAATATCCCTTACCCTTCTGCCCGCGAAGTGAAATACCAACCGTCTCTAGACCGGCATAAGAGTGTAGAAAATGTGGACATACCATGTATCCCATAGTTACTAAGTGGTCGAAGATGAACAATGAGTGGCATTTATTTACAATGGTCGCACTATCTGTCACGTCGGGTATAATATCCCGTCACGTCAGGCATAACGTACTCATCACGTCAAACACGACTTGCCCATCGCGCTACACATACAAAGACATGGTATCATGGAACTCGGGAAGAAAATGTGCAGTGATCTAAATTGACCAATTTAATAAAAATTCAGAAGTGCTCCCACGTAAGTGATATTAGTAGCATGTAGCATGCTGTCGAACAGTGCTAGGTAATTACTGCGACAATGATGCTGATGACAGTGTCGAAGGTACAGCGTACCCGACGATATATTGAGATGGTCAATGCAATGATATTTATACTCTTGCTATCCTTACCCTCATATTTTCCTCGGACAAAATACACATGGTGTTGAATCCTTGAAGAGCTTTCTTCATTTTATCTGCAAATATTGTTTGCAATGTGCAGCGTGCAGTGCGTATGCGTTAGCTTGCACTTTATATGCATAGGTGCTATTGAGTGTAATGGAAAGTGAGTGGGAATGCAAAGTTGATGGAATTGGGAAATGCAGCTTGAAAATGCAATAAGAAAAACTCAGCCTAACAAGCCTTACATGATGGAAGGCCTTAACTGAATAGATGTGTATCCCTTCTCTCGGTCAGTGTTTGTGAATAAATGAGAAAGGGAATGAGTGCAAAGGGAAAGAGACGGACATTCTTCTCTCCACTTCATGGTCCGATATGAATCATGAATTTACACAGGCCTTGAAAAGTCTTCCATCCCAAAGGAAACATGAACTGAAAATCGATTTGATGAAATGGATGTGGTGGGTACCAACTGAGGAAGAGATAAAATGGTTGCTGGAGAGGTGCTTGCTTCTCCATCTTCTCCTATAGCTCGATAAATGTTTTATGGTGAACCGCTCCCTCCATATTCTCCCATACCTAACGCCCAAGGTCTCTCTGTCCTCCCCCGCACAAACAGCAATCATTAAATTTCCAAGCATATTTCCTTATTTTCCAACATTTCGTACAATAATTTAAATCTCTCTGATTTTCTGGAACTCTTT